TTGGCTCTCCCATTGTGAACATTGAGACAAACATCTCCTATGCCTTCAATATTCACCTTCTCGCTGGTAGCCACCGTTATTTTGCCAAGCTCCCCTCGAACCAAACTCCCAAATTTCGAAGGATTATTGCACACATGCATGGTTGCAGCGGAGTCCAAAATCCATCTTTGATTGTTTTGCTCCACCTCAAGATCACACTCTTCACAAACTAATACTTCAACCACACTTTCTTCAACAATATTAGCCTCCCCCTTTCCCTTGGTTTCTTGACTTTTCATCAATATTTTCATATTAGAAAAATCCTCCTTAAACTTTGGGCATTTATACTGTTTGTGACCCAATTCACCACAATAAAAACACTACACTTCACCATAATCCTTCTTAGGTCTGGATTTCAACCTTTCTCGATTTCCTCCACCTCCACGTCCATTGGATCTTCCCCGAGAGTGCTCCATCACCAAAGCATTAGTTTGATTGGCACCATCATCCTCCCCAAGAAACTTATCATTCTCCAACAACATGGATGTGACATCTTTCATCACCAAGGTAGTCTTACCCACTAGCATGCTCTGTACTGGGGACTTGTAAGACTTTGGCAAGGATGCAAGTAAAAGCAAAGCTTTTTCCTCTTCTTCTAGAACATCCCCGGCATTCACTACTTGTGTCACCATCATGTTGAAATCAGATAAGTGCTTGTGAATATTAGTGCCTTCTGCCATCTTCAATTGATATAGCTCCATCTTTAAACACAATCGATTGGTTAAAGATTTTGAAGCATATATCTCTTCAAGTTTTCTCCACATGCCTATTGGAGTAGTCTCTGAAAGGACGTTGTATTTTACCTCCGATGCAAGCGCCAGCCGAATTTGCCTTGCTGCCTTCTTTTGGATAGTGCTCCAATCACTATCCCTCACCTCAGCTGGCTTGGTCTCTTCTAAAGCTGCATCAAGTCCTTGACAAGTAAGAACATCCTTCATAGTGCTTTGCCATAGAGCAAAGTCATTTTTGCCATCGAACAACTCAATTGAATACTTCATGACTTCAGTTTGCATTTTGCCACAACACCAGGAGCTCTACCAATAGCTCTAATACCACTTGTTGGGAATTTCGAACACCACAATCCCACACAAACGAAAGTGATAAAGAAATTGAGACAACAATTTAACGTGGTTCGACTTGTACACCTCTCAACAAGTCTACGTCCACGGGAAAGAGAGAAATAAATCCACTATTAAGAAAAAGAGTACAATAATTTGGAAGTTCTCTCACTTAAGAAGCTCTCAACCCTTAGTTTCAATCTATAGAAGCTCCCAAATTCTCTCTAATACTCTCTCTTAATCTACACAAGGATTTCTCACAATTTCTCTTTTTCTTTTCTCTCACAAGAGCTCTCCCTCAATTTCTCTTGCTTTCTCCTACTCTTGCTTGCCCATTGCCTTTGCATGCATGGGTATTTATAGTGAAAAATCCAACCACCCATGCACCATTTTTCTTTGCCTCATTACTACCCGTCCATGATATTCTTTGTTGATTAAATGGCTCAACATGCAATCTTGCATGATTTCAACAAAGCAACCCTAGCCCACCACTAGCTAGGTTGGTGAGGCAAACTTCCACACAAAAAGTCCATGGGTTCACACATGGGGTTGGACTTTCTTCCAACAATTCCAATTCTTGTGATTATTGCCCTTGCAGCCAAAGTGCTGAACTAGGCCCTTGTTTTTCTTCAGCTCCTACGTTTACTTATGAACAATAACCAGCTATTTTGTACTTGCTCCTGGAACATCACAGTCCTTATTGAAGATAATTTTTTCTGGTGAAGTAAATGCATTAATTCCAATTTGGTGCAATTTTCACGTTCTCTAACTATTTTTATACAATAAGAGATGATGAAAGAACAATAAAAGAACAACCACAAAATTTTGCTGGAAGAGCCAAGTAGAAATTCTACTACTTAAAGAAATGGATACAATTGCTAAAATCTCGTCCCTAGATTCGATAGAAGCTTCCCAATACACCCAATCTCACAACGCTCTTTTGTACTCAATAGCAATGCATCCATTATTGCAATCAAAATTCAAGACAGCATTAGCAAGTTTAACTTGGCCTTCCACATTTCATGTCTGTTGGTTAGCAACTAATTTGACAGAATATGGCACTTGATCGCCTTAAATATTTATGCATCTTCCACTTTGCATTGATTGATCTTGGATGAAATTTCTTCACTTCAGAGACTTGCCATGTCATCCCTGGGCTGCTAGCAAACATGACATTGCTGGTGTTGGCTGAATTATCAGGAGAGATGTGACCTATGCTGGAAAGTGGGTTCAAATCTCTTCATCACCATTTCAAGACAAAAAAACATATTGAGCAAACCACGTTTCCCACCACTGGGTCTCCAATACTATACCATTGATTTCCATGGTTAGCTACTGGTTGTCATGGTTGACTCTCTCTGTTTTCATCTTGAATTCCCTGCTGTTCATTTGTTAAAACATGAGAACTTTGATGTCAATTACAAGAGCATCACAAAGTAGCATTGATAATGGAAATGAGAAATAAGAATTAAAGAAAAGCATATCTACTTGAAATGAATTTCAAGCTTAATCATAATTCTACTCAAAATATACTTTCAAGGAGTTAAGAGTCATTATGGGTTGAGATGTCCCTGGAGTCTGGGTGCACCTTAGTCGATGACAACTCAACAGAAAGAAACCTACAAATTGGAAGTCCATGAGCAACTTTGCATCAGCTGCCATTCTTTGAAACAAATTGAACTTAGAAGTGATTTACCTACTCAAGGTATAATAGACTGATCGACATCCTGTCACTCTTCCAGCTGACTGAAATTGAGCACCTCCAAGAGATTAAAACCTTATGGTCCAATAACTTTTAAAGGAAGAATCTTAATTAGTTTTACCATAAGACTATGCTCATTTTACTAATTAACAAAAGATTAAAAAACCAGAAAGCCCATGCTTAAATGCTTGAGACTCAGGGAACATACCAGAATCATTCTTAATTTCTCTTGATGACAGTGCCTTTCTAACTGCTTTTTGTTCGTTCGATGAGCATTTGTTAGGTGTTTCAAGGCCAATGGATGGCCTACAATTACAGCAATCAAACCCTATTGAAACCATAACACCTAATAGAACTCCAATCCATGTTTTGCATTCCTGTGGACAAATTAAAACGACCAACAATCTAGATCATAACCACAAACATCAATCTAGAAAATTAAAGAAAAACCAATGCTTTAAATGAACAAAAAATTCAAAAGTTAATTACACTGGCTTGTTTTCCATTTCTATCTCCATGGTCTGAATCCCCTTAGTTGCAGATTCTTCCAAGCTTGAATTCAAAATCTATTATAATTACAAGTCTGCAAATATATATATTAAGAAATGGGAAGTGATGTGTTAGAGGCATGCAATAAGGAACTAAATAGTTAGTACCAAATGAAAATTATAAGTTGTCAAATACCAATCATTTGATTAATAAAAAAAAAAAAACTTCTAACCAACAAGTAATGTGTTCAAATAAGACAAAATTGGACGGAGGGACCGTTTGCACTTAACGGTCAAAAAAAAAAAAAAAAAAAGAAGAAAAAGTGGAAAGCAATGAGGCTCACAAAATTTTAAATCAAGAATGCATCAGATCATAGAGATGCAGTCAAACTTTGAAAGAAATGTTTACGAGGAAGCACAGCTTACCTGAATTCATGTATGGATCTTATAAAAATCAAAAGGTGTCCATGGCTTTTGAGATGATTGTTGTGCTTGGCACTTCGGCTTTTCAGCAAGGTGTCACCAACATCACATATGGTTTTAGAGCCTGATTCCTTGCAGGTTAATTTGAAGAACTAGTTGCCTGCAAAATGATGCAGACTTTATACACAACATATATTATCTACACATCAGATAAATAAATCATACATAATGAGATAATTGACATTTCACAAACTTGCATGCATTCACAATACTTGTTTGAGCAACTTCATTTTTTAAAATTGTATCCTCTTTTATACTTGGATCTGAATCTTATTTTCACCCTGCACAAGCAAATACAAAACATTAAGAGAAGGTAAAAATGCTTGGAAGGACCAAATTTACAAATGTTAAAAAAATCAGCAACAACCTTCCTCATAGTTAAGTTGGTAGAAGAAAGAAGTGATACACCAGTACAATAAGACTAATGAGTTCAGTGGTAAACTTTGATGCTACTCTATACCCATTGCATAATAGGTTTTAATTTGGCAAATAAAGTCCAACCTCACAATCAGCATTGAAGTCTGTGGTCTGGGTTGGGCTACCAAGCCGTGATGCTAGCCTTTAATTTTTGAATCTTGTTTTACTTCCTATTTTATTAGTTTCTGCAACAAATGAAGCATCTCAATCTTGTAGGCTGCACTGGTAATTGCTGACTATCATCATCTTGCTGCTCATTATCATCAACCTGCTGCACACTCTCATCATCTTGCTACTCATTATCATCAACCTGCTGCTCACTGTCATCATCCTGATGTAGTTGACTAGGAATCTAGAATCATAGTAGAGCATTCGAAAGGAGAAATTATTAGTATAACATTTTAAAACTTGAAATTACATATAGTGAAGGGAAAAGAAATTATCAACTTAATTTGCTTTTGAATTGTAGGTAACAATGGTAGTAGATAATAAATTTGGTTTTAGTTGCTACCTACTATAAATAAATTGAAAAAATAAAAAAGATTTAGTGGTACTACCTAAAAGATTGAAATAAGGTAAATGCATAATTGAAATCAATCAAGAAGACAAGGGAATTAAAGAAAAAAGATTTACTATTATATATAGTTAAAGGCTGAAAATACCTAAATGGGAGCTCCTGCCCATTGGATCCCTCTGTCGTCTATTTCGATGTTTCGAATGTGAGAGATGTAGTCCCACTCGGAACCACTTCCTCTGGTGCATCTTTCCTTTAACTCAGGGCATTCATCAATATAAAGCCCTTTTAATTCGGAGAGGTATCGGATGGCTTCCATATGTTTCAGAGATTTGCTGTTGGAAATCCGTAGAGTTTGAAGAGAGGATAAGTTTCCAAACCAATTTGGCAAAGCTTCCAGTCCATCAAAATCTGTTATTTCGAGAGACTTATGTATTGTTTGGATTGGGGGTATTGGACGGAGAGCAAGGGGAAGGGATGGGGACGGATGATAAGAGAGGGGGAATGAGGGGAGGTTGTCTCCTTCCTCTTGTTTGGTTTCCAAAGAGATAGAAGGGAAGGGAGATCCATGGATTCGGACTCCCTTCGACCACCCTCAACTCTGCAGATTTGCAATCCTCCCGATTTGGGGGTTTGGGAGGGATTCCGGGGCTGTTTAGATTAGATTAAAAATAATTACAAAATTACCTTTTTCATATATTATCATAAATTGTTCTCCTCCTTCTTGCGGCAACAGCTTCAGAACCAGAAGAATCAAGTGAAGCCATAAACCGTATAGCTTGAACACTCTTTGTTATTTACCATATTTTTGCTTCTCTGTTTTTTTAAAAAAGATAAAACAAAATTTCAACCAAATAAATACAGAAGAAATAAATCTATAGAGAAGCAAAATTTCAACCGAATCCGTTGCTCGGAACACCTTGTCCGATACCACTCTATAGGGAACATATATGTCCCTTGCTTGACATAAATTTATATTTGAATAATTTTTTGTGATTTGGTTTATATTAATTATTTTATTTTATTGTTCATCGACATCATTAAGATTATATTGTAATAAAATTATTTGCTTTTTATTTTTAGAATCATTGTTAACTGGTTGCTTTATTTACTATTTTTTTGTTAAATTTTAATTTTATATTTTTTCAATCAATAATTTTTTTCCTTTAATTTGCATTTATGAATTTTTTAACCCAAAGTTATATTATGACCCAAAAAAGACATATGTAAGATGCCTAGGCTTCTCTCGTACTTCTTTGTGGTGAATAATGGAGTGATTCAATGAATTAAACAAATGATAGCAAGGGGGCAAGAATACACAATCCTATTACAAGTTTAAAGGATAAATTTGTAAATTTAAAATTAATTTAAATCCTTCACTTCCTTTTACCTTAATTATCCAAACATAAAAAATACAATCCTTATCTTCCCTTTCCCTTCCTCATTTTTATTTATCCAAACAAAATTAACACAAATCATTTCCTTTTATTTTCTTCCCTTTCCTTTCTTTTCCTTGCCCGCCATTTCCTCTTATTTTCCTCCATCCCCCTCCCTTCCCTTCCCTTCCCTTTACTATTTTCTATCCAAACAGTACGTTAAGGGCAGTTTGGTGTTGAATTTGATCCAGCAGACGTTCTCTTGGTTCTCCCCATGCAATCAAAGTCAATTCTTCAAGATGAGATCCGATGAAGCCCAGATCTAGAAATTCCTTAAGCTCTGTTGAGAAACCACCAATAGTCAGCTTCTTCAGGTGAGGAAGGCAGTCAGGGTTAGCGATGCTCCAGCTCCTCCTCAAATCATCTGGAATAGAGATTAGATTATGACAGTAGGAGATATCCAATTCCTCAAGAGCAATGCATGATGGCAACCCACTTGGCAAACTTCTTAATCCACCACAACCCCTTATCGATAAAGTCTGAAGAGATGAAAGTGCATGGAGGTTCAGAAAGGACATCAAACCATCGCACCATCATATAGTCAACTCTTTGAGACACGTGGCAGTAGATAAGTTCTCTTCTATGCTTTTCAATTGCCCACAGTTGCGTATTTCAATTTTTTGAAGAGAGGACAGCCCATGGAGGTTCGGTAAGGACATCAAACCATCGCATCCCTCTACAGTCAACTCTTTGAGACATGTGGCAGTAGATAAATCCTCTCCTATGCTTTTCAATTGCCGACACCCCCTTATTTCAATTTTTTGAAGAGAGGACAGCCCATGGAGGTTCGGTAAGGACATCAAACCATTGCAGTATTTTATAGTCAACTCTTTGAGACACGTGGCAGTAGATAAATCCTCTCCTATGCTTTTCAATTGCCCACAATGGACTATTTTAAT